ATGGTTTATAAATGCGGTTAAATCGAACACTAATAGAGACATCCATAACCTTTTTTCCATGGTTTCGATTTACCAATTAAAAAAAATCACGACTTCCTTAGAAATATCTGTGTTGTTATTAGTAATACTTTTCAATATGGTTATGTAGTTATATCATGTTGGAATAGGCAATGCATTATGGACCTATGATACGTAAATATGGTTCCTCCTTTTTAGTGTCGAGCGACTACTACTCTTCAACATCCTTTTGTAATGAAAAAAGAAAGAAAACTAACTAGTGGAAGAGAGAGAGAGATGTTTGATTGATCAACGTTGGTTGTTTGGTTTGGTAAATCGAAACCATGGCAAAAAGGTTATGGATCTGTGTGTGTTTTATGTTCCTTATTATCCACCATTTCCACATTGCTACTTGTTTTTACCTTCCTGGTGTTGCACCCGAAGATTTCCACAAGGTCATTCATTCCCTTTTCATTCCTCTATTTATTTATTTCATTCAGAAACAAACTCTTTTGTCATTGGTGATTTGCATTGTTGTTTTCTGAGAATTGAGATCCATTAAAATATTCATATATACGGTTGATTAGAATTGGTTTTTGCTATGTGATGTTGATGGATGACAGGGAGAACCGTTGAGGGTGAAAGTGAACAAACTATCTTCTACAAAAACACAACTTCCTTACTCCTATTATTCTCTGCCTTACTGTCGTCCAGATCACATTATTGACAGTGCTGAGAATCTCGGGGAAGTTCTTCGTGGTGACCGTATTGAGAACTCCCCTTACATGGTTGGTTGGTCCACACGTTATCGTTATTCCTCTCATTTAGTTACTGTATGTTTTTTATGACGCGTAAAAACTATAATGTTGAAACAGTTTAAAATGAGAGAACCACAGATGTGCAATGTTGTTTGTCGACTAATTCTTAATGCAAAGACAGCCAAAGAGTTCAAAGAAAAGATAGATGATGAATATCGGGTGAACATGTGAGTTTCTGATGATGGATGACCTTTATTTTTCGGCGCTTATGTCTGTGTGATAAAGAAGAAAAAAATGGTTGCATTGTTGCAGGATTTTAGACAATCTTCCTTTGGTTGTTCCGCTTAGACGACCTGATAAGGAATCCTCTTTAGTATATCTGCATGGCTTCCTAGTTGGTCTTAAAGGACAATATGCTGGAGTAAGTGTTAGATGAATGAACTTTTGTTTTCTCTTTTGTTTCAATTCATTTTGACCTTACGTATTATACAAATAATGACAGAACAAGGATGAAAAACACTTTATCCATAATCACTTAACATTTGTGGTTAAGCATCACAGAGATCCTGTAACGGAGTTTTCAAGAATTGTAGGCTTTGAGGTTAAGCCTTTCAGGTTGTGTTATAATTATTCTCCTTTTGTTAATTTCTTAAATGTGATAATACTTGTTAATTGGAATCACCCCGACGAATACAGTGTTAAGCATGAATATGAAGGTGAATGGGATGAAAACACTCGCTTAAGCACTTGTGATCCGCATGCGAAAAAGTTAATCTCAGGCTCCGAACCTCCTCAAGAGGTTGAAGACAAGAAAGAAATTCTATTCACCTATGATGTTGAGTTCCAGGTCAGTTCCGCAAATTTGTGGGGATTTTCGGTGTGGATGTCTCTTTTTAATTGTGTAATCATGATGATGATGCAGGAAAGTGATGTAAAGTGGGCGTCTCGCTGGGATTCGTATCTTCTGATGACAGATGATGAAATTCACTGGTTTTCAATTATTAACTCTTTAATGATTGTACTTTTCCTTTCTGGTATGGTGGCTATGATAATGTTAAGGACGCTTTATCGCGATATCTCAAAGTATAATCAATTAGAGACCCAAGAAGAAGCTCAGGAAGAGACAGGGTGGAAACTTGTACACGGAGATGTTTTCAGAACTCCTTCAAACTCAGATTTACTGTGTGTGTATGTTGGAACAGGTGTTCAGTTTTTTGGAATGGTTCTTGTCACTATGATGTTTGCTGCACTTGGATTTTTGTCTCCCTCAAACAGAGGAGGGTTGATGACTGCCATGCTTCTTCTCTGGGCTCTAATGGGACTAATAGGTGGTTATTCTTCGGCGCGTCTTTACAAGCAGTTGAATGGAACAGAATGGAAGAAAATCACACTCAAGACAGCTTTTATGTTTCCTTCTATTGTCTTTGCAATATTCTTTGTGCTAAATGCTCTTATTTGGGGGCAAAGGTCTTCTGGGGCAGTGCCATTTGGTACAATGTTTGCTCTTGTTTTCTTATGGTTTGGTATCTCAGTTCCACTAGTGTTTCTTGGTGGTCACATAGGTTTTAAGAAGCCTGAGATTGAGGATCCTGTAAAGACAAGTAAGATACCAAGGCAGATCCCAGAGCAAGCTTGGTACATGAACTCAGTCTTGTCTATTCTAATTGGAGGCATACTCCCTTTTGGTGCTGTCTTCATTGAGCTTTTCTTTATTCTCACATCTATCTGGTTGCATCAATTTTACTATATATTTGGTTTCCTCTTCATTGTGTTCCTCATCCTTCTTGTTACTTGCGCCGAGATTACAATTGTTCTTTGCTACTTCCAGCTCTGTAGTGAAGACTACATGTGGTGGTGGAGGTCATACCTTACTTCAGGTTCCTCTGCACTCTACCTTTTTCTATATGCCACATTTTACTTCTTCACAAAGCTTGAGATCACAAAACCGGTATCTGGAGTCTTGTACTTTGGCTACATGCTGCTTCTTTCCTACGGTTTCTTCGTCGTGACCGGTACAATTGGTTTCTATGCATGTTTCTGGTTCACAAGGCTAATCTACTCTTCAGTGAAAATTGACTAATAAATGCAAGTTTCTGGCTCACAGGGCTAATCTACTCTTCAGATGCCTTGTGAAGGTTTATTAAATCATAGAATGTGGAATTGTTAGGAAGCTTCGGATGCTCCTTTGTTCCCGCATAATATCAGAAATTTTTGGTATAATTAAGTATAGGTCATTTTGCAGTTCTAATTTTAATTGTTCAAAGTATCATATTCAATGTTAATATTTACTTCACTTCTCTTTCTACATATATCTATTTTCTTTCTTTTTTCCATCATAGTGAATTTTTAGACAAATCAAATCCATCGGGTATATAAAACCACAACCATTTAAATCTCACTTCTCAGGACAGCTGACACTGGCGTTACAAGAGTGTAGGACAAGTCTAAGGTGTGTGTAGGTTAGTTACCCTATATAAGGGATTGTAATCTGAACTTTCTCTTCATCATTGATAAATAATTGTTTTCACATGTCTCTATATGTGAGCTTATATGGTTGAAGCAACATCTTCTCAATTTGAGTTTTTTCAAATTACAGTCCATGATTCTCATTATTCATAATCAAGCAGTCCTACACATTGCATCTAACAAAGTCTTCAATCATGAACTAAACATGGAGATTGCTTGTCATTTTATTAGTGAAAATGTTCTTTGAGGGGAGATCAATATATCTGTTGGGAATTCTAGTGGACTATCTAGCCTAGACCTTTACCGATTCAAGTAGAGGTACAAGAATATCTATATGAGTATATAGGACATATATGCTCCCGTTTCAGGGAGGGTGTTCTTATACTTGAAATTTTGTTATGATACTATTATCTGATATAATTATTATGTTGTAATAAATAGGATAGATTCAGACATATTTTTAGATAGAATTTATCTATAATCAAGGGATTTGGTTGTACATATTTATTAGTGTTGAGATATTAGTTTATTATTATTTAGTATCTATAGTCTTTATGAATAATATCAATTAAAATATTATTTAGGATATTATTGTATCAAATATTTCCTTATAATAAAATACAAGAAATACATTTTTAAAATTGTATCATGAGTTAGATCTTAAATCCTAATTTTTTTTCTTCTCTTCTTGGGTGTACAAGAGCAGAACCTGTGTCATATTTCAAATTTGTCATACCCTTATAATTATATTTAGTTTTTTTTATAAATAAATCATACTATTTAATTTTTGTTTCTATGAGGGGTAAAATATGGAAAATGAGTATGTCGATTTAAAATGGACCATCAATATATGATAGTCTATTAGATTTTAAAATAGAAGTCCATTTCAAGGGAGGGGTGTTGTTTTAACCAAGGAGGTGTGAATAAATCTTTTTTATTAAGACCCATTAAGGTTTCGTTCTTTTTTGGAAAGAGTGTGTAAAACAATTCTTTTTTGTTATTAAGGCCGAATATGGAAGCCCATTTAGGTTTTAGATAATTCTAAGGGTGTACAAGCAGTTCATGTTGTTTAGAGGCCCAATATAACTCGAAAAAGGGCCCGTGTGAAATTCTTTTAGTCCTTTTTAAAATTGAAGAGGGGGTGTATAGAGAATTTCGTATTGGTTAAAGGCCCAACAGATTAATGTCGTACGACCCATTCAGTTTTTGTTTTGAAAGTCAGATTGAGAGATAAAGAGGCTTTTTTTCGCATGGCCCAATCAAACGTTATGGGCCCAAATCAGAGAAAAAACATATTGCAAGCCCAAAACAGCGCATGACATGAAACCAAAAAACGCAGGTTTGCAAACGGTTACTGTTCAAATCATGAACATAATCAATTTTTTCTTATTCAAAAAATCTGTACAAATCAATATCCAATACAGAAACATATCTTCGTCATCAACTATACAATAAAGAACGAGATCGAAACAGAAACAGAAAACCAAAATCATTCCTCTTTATATTGAGATTCAGAGACAGTATCAAATTAATATGGAAACAAATTGAATCTGTATAATACAAACCAAATCAGAAATAGAGACAAATTAATCCATTTCCTAAAACTACAAATCTTAAAACACTTTAAAAACCTAAAAATTCAATACAAAAAAAAATTACAAAAAGGGGACGAAAAAGAGAACATTACAGGGGGAAACAAACTGTTACAGAGGAGCGAGAGTTGTTACAGAGGGAGAGAAACTGTGACAGTGAGGATAAATTCCAGAGAGGAGGAAGTTTATGGGGGCCTGTCACCGCCGTCAAACCTTTGTCTCCCTCGCTGCACAGCAGATTCACACACGAGCTCAACACCATGATCTGTCGCCCCAATCATCATCCACTATCACATGCGAAACAAGGAGAGAATCAGAGAGAGATCAGAGAAACGCTAAAAATTTCAAACACATCAAAGGTAACAAGACACTTAGCTTTTGTTTTTCTTCGCGGTTGATACTGTTGTGCGCTTGTCACGACGGGATTTAGGGGGTTCAAAGGTCGAAGTTCGACGGTTGAGGTTTGCACCGGCACCGCCGCGAAGAAAAGACGAAGCGGAGAAACAGAGGAGGAAGTAGCGTGGAATTAGAATGAGAAATGAATTGGTTTTAATTCCAATTGGGCCTCATTTGAGACCTTAAAGCCCAGTACGGATTCTGATATACACCACTTTTTTTATTATTTCAGCTGATAGGTAAATTTGTTTGGACCATAAACATTAAACCCACCAACAATTTTCAGTAATATCCTCTTTATTCTTTTCTGCTAGCGCACGCAGAAACAAACCCCCTTGGTCAAATGGGCCAAGTCCAATATTTAGACTTGGATCCATACTTTCTGATCCCCCCAATTTGCTGCATAGGCCAGAAACACACCCCTCCGCCTTTTTAGCCTGAATTCAATATCTGATTTCAGGCTCGTGCTATTAGCACCCTCCTTTTTTCTACCTCAATATAATTTACACCCTTCACGTTTTATTTTATTTTCTTTATTCTTTATTATTTTTATATTCTTATTTTATTTTATTTAATATTTTCATATTTTTTTATTAAATCGTATATTATTTTTCAAACTCATGAAAAATATGTATTATTTTAATTGCATTAAAATCGTTTTTTTTAGCATGCATTAATAAAACTATTTTTAATAATTAATACATTAAAAAATTTAACCAATACCAAATAATTTTCATGTCTAAATTAATTCAAATAATTAATTTTTAAAAGGGATTACAAATATGTTCAAATCGACTGTGTGTTTAGTCTAACAATCTCCGCTATTTACAACACATAGGCAAAGCACGCGGGAAATTCAAATATTTTTCGCAATCCATAAAAAACACTAACCAAACAACCGCGAACTACGAATTGGGACTCTGATTCCTCCTAAGAGGATACGTAGGTGTGATACGGTGGGAGAATTGACTTGAAGGTTTTTGCGTTTATTCGCAAATGTTGCAGTTAGCAAGAGTCGCCACCGAATTTTCTTTTATCCAAAAGGAAAGGTGAAAAAGCACAGGAAAGACCTTTGAGATTGTTTCTTGAGTTCGGGAGGTAAATTATGAAAAGGGAAGGTATTATCATCTTTTTCATCCATGGTTTTCCATGGGCTCTTAGTTACTTGCTAGATCACTTGTTTTTGTTTGAAATTGTGTTTGGTGTGGTTTTTGAAAGTATTTTGTAAAAGAGACCATTGTTTAGGCAATCTTTGTAATGATTCTCGTTCGTAAGAATGTATACAAAGATGTTGATATTTTGAAAAATGTTTTCAATGTTTGTAAGATGTTTGAAAATGTGTGTGTTTGTTTTGAAAATAGCAAGGATGTTGGTTTTGAAATGGAGCAAGTAACTAAAAGTAATCTACCTACTCAAATGTCTTTCTTGTTCATTTTCTTTTCCTTTGACATTGTTGCCTTACCATTGATTTGGTAAGCAACCCTATCTTTTGATGTAAACGGGACGGGCGTGGGTCATCGTATAGCCATGATTAGCAATGTTGCAAAGTATCTTAGCATTTTTGAGGGACTAAGATCATTTTTGTAAGGCAAATTTGAATAGCGTCATCGAGGGACTATGATGTTGTTTTTATTTGTTTTGCTAAGATACCTTACATGCGTAATATGGCCATTTTTGTATAAGGCAACTAAGTGGAGTAACCCTAGGGGTGCTTGTGTGCAAATGTGTCATTTTCATTCTTGATCTTGTCTTGAATTAGGGTTTTGTATTTGATTGGTTTTATCTTGCCATACAAACCCTAATTACTAGCATGTTATATAAAAGCGATAAATTGCGAACTTTAAAGATTACTATGCTATTACAACACTTTGTGGGAGGGGTGTACAATTTATGAATGGAGATTGCAATAATATAAACCTAGTTAATCTATTACAACCAAATTGAATATATACAAATATTGGAATAAATAATATACAAGATAAATTTTATATGCAAAGATATGTAAATGCAAAAGAAGATTTTGTTTGGTTTTTTATGTGTAAAAAGTTTTAACCTAAACCTAATAAATAAATCAAGATTATCTCAAATTAATTAGGAAAGGAAATTATTTTTTTTAGAGAATATTTTTAATAAACCCTAATTCTACTTGATTAAAAGAAAATAAATTTCTTTAAGAAAAAGTAAGTATTTTTGTATTTTTTGTCTTGAAAATAATATGTGGTATTTATGAGGTATTTTGGTCTTTTTTGTGTTAAAATAATATGCTTAATGAGTGTGAAGAAAAATAAATAAATATTAAACTAGTTTTAAATTAATTTGCAAAGTTATTTAATAAAGTAGATAATACATATAACTAAAGAAAATATTTTTTATTGAGAAAAATGAAATAAAATAAGTCAAAATAAAATCTATCATTTTTATATTTTTTGTGATTTTTAATATTAAGAAAATATATTTAATTAAAATAAAATGAAAGGTAAAATAAATAAATAAAATTAATATGGGTCAGGGGTGCTGCAAGAAAATAGGAGGCAGGAGGTTAGCAAAAACACAAGGCCCAAAGTCCAAAAGCCCACGCTGCAAAAACAACAAAAAAAAGTGGAAAAAGTATGGAAAATTGCAAAAGACAACGCCCTGAGGCTCGAACCCATGACCTCTGGCCTTTTTACGCACTGCCTTACCACTGGGGTGACTATACATCTGTTTATATAAACAAAAGCACAAATATATATTATAAAACGCCTCCAGAAGGCAACTTCATCTTCAACCTTGAGCCATGGCTGGACCACCTGTATCTCTCTCATTTCTCCATGAAAATGGAAAATCCAAACATGAAAGTGATAGTATTTCTTCCCACGATTTCAACCATATAATTCATGTAAACTAAAAGTCAAAGATTAAAGCTAATTTTACTGGCCCTAATTTGAAACCTAATTTTTACAGAAATTTCAAATCCAAAATTCTCTATATACAATGAATATAAATGAAGTCTATGAACATGGTTGGCTTTAGTGCAATGATATCTATATTTTGTTTTCACAAATCAAGACCAAATGATGCTTGTATGAAGAGATAGAAGTTTGAATTTTTACCCCTTTCAGCTGAGATCGTGAATGGAGTTTGAGTAAGTTTTGAGAAGTCATGGGGATCTGTTTAGCTTTCTTGAACCTCCCTGAGGGTATTCCAATCTTTACTTTGCCTTGAAAGTTCCTGAATCTCCCTACTCAAGTCAACCTGCAAGCTTGAAATGTAAAAATGGCAGATGGAGAAGGAGGAGTTACAGTGAGGGAACAAGGGTCTGGAACACTTAGATATGATGTATATTAAGTGTTTAGGTGGTTAAAACTCAAAACGCACGAGTGGTTTTTGAGATTTCTATGTAAGGTACAGAACTGCAAGTTATGGAAGATTTTCAGTGATAGAGTGTTTCGGAGAGTTTCTGAGCTTTTGCATTCGTGTGTTAGGTTGTAATACACTTGTGTATAAGTATAGAGAACGTTTCTTGATCAATTCCACACCAGGTTTCTGAGTTATAGTCTTTTGGCTCTATAACTTGCTTTTGAAGCAAAGTGAGGAGACAAGTCCCTAAGTGTTTGTACAAGCCTGATCTGAGTTGGTAAAGGTCTTAGACACATTGCTTTTGGTTTATAGGATTTGTGTGTGCAGAAAGAACAAGTGCAAAGCTCAAGGAGTTGACAATTGCAAAAGTTGTGCTTTATCAAAATGGAAATGACAACTTTGTGCCATAAATGGAATTGTAACTTGGACAAATGCTATAATGCTTGGATCAAAGCTCTATTAGCTGTGTAAACATTTAATTATGGAGTGAGAAATAAGTTTGAGGCCTGAAAAGCAAAGATTATGTAGCCTAGGCTTGAATTTAAATTTTGATTCATCATGAAATGGCTTGAAATCAAAGTGAGAAATTGCCAACTTCATCTCTTCGATTCTCCCTACTCAAGAATGATCTCAAGGAGTTCTTGGATATTTTGGAAAGATTGCAATGTACTCTACAACTCATATTTGAATTGCTTTCAAAGATTCCCCTTATAAATATGTGAAAATTTGGCATGAAGTTAGGTCAAAATCCTGCCTAACTAGGGCAAAATTTCATTAAGTTATTTTAGTTCATGAGCATGTATTCACAAAATTATATCTTGAGATCCAAGCATTTTTAGGATAAATTGTGTGAAGAAAAGTTGTAGATTTCATGTAGATCTACAATTTTCATGTTGGAAATTTCCTTGGAATCATCTTTCATCATGGTAAAAATTTGGCTCAAAGTTGAGAAAAAAAAAGAAATTTTTTATACTTAGAAAATTTTCTAAGTTAAGAAATTTCAAATTTCAAAACAAAATCTTCAATCTTTGATTTCTTGATGAACAAGTTTCACATTTTGACATGTTTTGATGAATTATGATCTTTGGCACTTGATTTTGACCAAAAAGTCAAAGTTTGACTTTTCAGTAAACAGTTGACTTTTGATCAGTTGACTGAAAATTCATCTGTCAATCTAATGAATTTGTAATGTTTTGAACCATGTAATTAGGTCAAGATAATTCAATTGAACTATTGAAATCATGATCTAAACCAATTGGTCATTTGCTAGGTCAAAAATCAGAAATTGCCCCTTTCTCAGTCAAAACCCTAATTTTGACCATTTTGCCCTTTTGATGATTTGATCAAATTCCTTGAGGAATGGTGGTCCAAACTTGATCAAATGATACATATGAGTCTAATATATTTATGTGGATAAAAAATTATGAAGTTTTACTGTAAATTGGCCATGGTTTACTTTTCCCCCAATATAGTTGATTTTTAGGTCAACTGTCCAATTGACTGATCAAAAATGTGATTCAAGGCTTGAAACTTGACATGGGTAATATTGGGGGTCCCTAATGATCTTGAAAACCATATTAAGCATTGATAGTCCAAAAATACTTGTGCAAACTCAAACCCTAATTTTGGTCATCAGTGCATGATGAGATGTTTTGAGCTGGTCAAACCTTAATCCAACCTTGAGTCAAAGAGATC